AGTTATCAACATTAGGGGTGCAACAATACATGTACCCTTATCGAACCGTATCGAACAGAGCTTTAGGTTCAATACACACTTGTATCGAACAATACAGATTTTTAAAATTTACTTTATCAACTTGTCTTCTGAAGATGCTCTGTGTTAAAGGATCAGTGGATCTGTGTTCGACTACTCCACCTAGGCTGCATTTTTGAGCGCAGATCCACTGAGAAACTTGCTGTTTCAGCAACATTTAATTTAAAAACTGTACTTTTGAGGTTAAACAAATGTTGGTACTTAATTTAAATAAATTACAAGTTAAATGAGGCATGGAAATGTCTTTTTTTGTATCGAAAAAATATCGAACCGTGACACTAAAGTATCGAACCAAATCGTGAATTTTCTGTATCGTTGCACCCCTGATATATATATATATATATATGTGTGTGTGTGTGTGTGTGTGTGTGTGCCTGAGTTAGATGGCCTTTTGATAGCTCCTAAGTTTGTAAAAATAAATTTTATTCCTCTTAAAAGTTTCTGATTTGGGCCAGACTGAGATAATTGCTTTTGCCGGGGTCAAGACCAAAGAGGTTTCAAAAGATTCATAGTATTTCATGTAGGGATGTCCCGATACCACTTTTTCACTTCCGATACGATACCGATATTACAACTTTGAGAAATGTCCGATACCGATATTGACCGATACCGATATTGACCCGTTACTATAACAGTGCAAGTCACACACTTTTACCTATTTTGTAGTGTAAAATCTTAGAAAAATCTTGATCAGATCAAACAGTGAAAAAGAGTAGGTATGAGAAAAACTGACCCATTTATTTTAAACCAATGGATGACATACATTTTACACTGAAGAACATTATACAATTTAATAAATAAAATAAATTACAATACCCTGAAAAAATAACATAATAAAAACAAAATGTACTTTTACAGTGTAAAATAATTCAAAATCACTCCAGTTATTTTTTTTACCATCTGTCAGCCTTGTGCTGCTTTATGGTGGAAAAAACTGAAGGTGGGGACAAAACAAAAGCCCACATTATTGTCTGTTCAAAGTTAAGAGTCCACAGCTCCAATTTTACTGACTGTAACTAAAACAACATGATCATTGCACTTAATCTTCACTCAAACAAGTGTGTAAACAGATTAAACATCACTCTAATAACAAGAGCAAAAAATAAATAGTAAGAAAGCTGCTGCCAGGGTGGAGAGTAGTTGTCGCTCCGGTTTAAAACGTTCACGGTTCTGTGTTTCCCCTCGGAAAACTTGTGCATGACAACTTTACACTTAGCTGCAACTCTGTTTCTGAAGAAAATAAAAAGTTCTGCTGCCGACATTCTTGCTAACTTGTTAGCGCTGCTGCTGTTGTGATCACGTGAGTGCTACAAGCAGGATCCAAGCGCTGCTGGATAGAAACACTGGAGCGGAGTCAGTGAACTGCTGGAACGGACTGCTAATATCGGAGCGCTTATATCGGACATTTTTTATGCAGTCCGATAAAATCCGATACTCGTTTTTTGGCTGATATCGGACCGATATCCGATATTGATATCGGATCGGGACACCCCTAATTTCATGTAACCACTGAACTCTGTCTATCAAAACTGAGTTTGTTCAAAAAGCCATCTGCAAGTGCTCAGATAAAATATCTTACAATATCCCCCCCCCTATAATCAGGATTTTAGCTAGAGTTTAGGTAGAGGGTAGCCTGGCCCTTGTCTTCCTACACAGTTCCGCTCAATTCTAGTTTCCCTTCTCTGCTCTGTCTGGGACTTCTCCCATAGACACTGATTTTGCTGGCAGATTTTTAGCCGGGCCAATCAGAGAGCAGAATGTCGATTTTCTGCACAGTGTCAGCTTGTAGTTTATTTTACCTGGGCCAATCAGAGGACAGAAGGAGGAGTTTTGAATGACGTCGATGTTCTGCGCAGTGTCTGCTAGTTATTTTAACATACGGCAGTGGAGGAAGTGAATGAAGCCAGTCCGTGTTGATAAGGCTTCCAAATCAAAATAAATTTGTCTGATAAAGCAGCAGCTCTCATTTACAGCCGTCTCGTTCAGCTCGGTACTTCTCTCCTCTCAGTAGGATTGTTTACAGCACACGCGATTTCTGGTTAGCTTCTTAGCTTAGCTCACACTTCAGCACAGGCCACGCCTCCTGCAAGAATCGCTTCTCTATAGCACCGAGTCCAGACCCTTGTACGAAGCAAAGTGAAGGACAGGGTCTGGTTTTTACCAGGCTAGGTAGAGGGTGTCTACACCCTAAGACCAAGGGCCCGTGGGCTGCCCAGCATTTTAGGAAAGCTCTAAAATAGTTGTTTTAGAGGTTTCATTTTCATTCTTACACCTCGTAATTAACTTAACCCTAAGTTGTTTGTCCAACTATTGCTGCATTTCATTTACCTTGGAACTCGGAACTGGAAAGACACGATTACATCATTTTTGAGTTGACAGCAATCCAGTTTCCCTCTTGTCGGAAGTCTAAAAAAGAAAGATGGACACCTGCAAATCAAGCCTGCTTACAACCTTTGCATGTGGTTTATCATAACAAATGATGGCTGGCCTGGTCCACTTTGAAAATGAGGTATTTGCTTGAAACTGATGTTCTAATTAATGAATTTATTTTTTGTGTCTCAATTCATGGGCTGGGTCCTCAAGAGCCCAGCAGTCTCAGTTGCAATAATCAGTAATTTACTGAAGCCCATAAGTTAGTTATTTTTAAGAGTAAAAGTTCCTCTAAATAAATAAATACTTATTTATGCAAGTTAAGCAGTTACTGTGATTTTTTTATCAAATGAAAAATATATAAAAAATGTAATAAATTGGTGTAATCTTTCAGCCGTCAGCTGCACTCATTTCTAAATGTCAGTTTCAGCCAGAAAAAAATAACTTAATGGTGCACCTCGATGAATTCTGTTTCCTCTGTGCAACCAGTTGTGTAGCCAGGTTTTCTGTGGTCAACATTTAAAAATCACATCCCATTTTCGTGTACACGAGAGGCCGCACATCGTACCCACCTCATGTTATTTTGTACCCACTTTGGCAGATGCCCCAATGTTAATCATATAATGTACTGGATAAATAAAGATAGGTAGATTAGGACAAATTTGAAATATTCTTTAGTATCAGCATTATTTTAAACCAGGACACTGGGGGCTAGACTTGGGTATTTTCTATCCCATTAGAGCTTCTGTGAAGGTGTCAAAATACAGCTCCAGATTTAGAACAAGCAAAGATTAAACTGCGATGGGTTCAAGARGCCATGCATCAACTCTGCAGCCATTTTCAAAACATACTCAGAATTAAAGGCGACAAGACTYTGAGCATCTTTGAGTCCTGTCGGGACCTGAGACTCCTTCACTTGGGTCATTCAATGAGTTGCTTCACACGCCCAATAAACAATATTAGTCGAGACAATAAAGCATTTCTATTGAACAAATACCATTGTTGCCATGTTGTTAAAGWTAATTAACCTTAATATGACAATGGTTTGTAAAACACAACATACACCCTTTATTTAAAGTGTTCTATTAACAATAACCCTGTTTTTAGTAGTGCTGTGTATTGGCAAGAATTTGGCGATACGATTCATATCATAACAGAGGGGTCACGATACGATATATCCTGATATATTGCAATACTGTAAGCAAGGCGATATATTGCAATATATTGCAATTTTTTTGTCCAAAAATTCTATTAAATAAAAACCTCTTACTGAAAAAAAAAAAAACCTAATGTTTACTTACAATGCTAATGCTACCCTTACTCTCTGGCGCTCAAGAGGTAGAGGAGRCAAATGGCTGGCTCACTGCTGCCAACTAGTGGTCAGAGGCTGAACTACGACATAAAAATGAACGGCTGGCAAGAAGGTTGACATTTTAAACCTTAATTAAAAATCGATACAGGGCTTTAGAATATCAATACAGTATCGGGAAATGAAATATCGTGATATTTCAGTGTATCGATATTTTCTTACACCCCTAGTTTTTAGATGCAGAAAGTACATTTCACAAAYGGATGAGGACATTTTTAAAGGGATAAAGGCAGAGAACCAAATTGACAAAGACCCGAAGACTCATTTTAAGTGAACACCAAACAAACCTAATTCTGGAATCAAATCCTGAAATTTCATCAAAAACAGGTTTCAAGCTGACTTATTGGACATAATAATTTATATAAAATAAGAACCTTGTGTGCACATTAGATCACCAAGCTCCAAACTATAATTTCATGTGTCTGAGAAGCTGAAAGCAGGAAGCTGTAGATGCAGGATGTCAGCAGCTGGTCACAGGCCAGCCAGCAGAGTGTGAACAGAGGGATTCTGGCAGAGGAGGGATATTAACGACTCGGGCTGTGTTCTTAAGGTTGAAAGGCACAGTTACTTAAAAGAAGAGATGGGCTCGGCTCCTCCGGTATRACCCCAGGACTCCTGACACTGTGAYGTATTGATGTACCCACATCAAGGTCTAAAACAAATAAAACAAGAGGATCAGCCCTGTAGGAGGGAGCCTTCAAAGCAACTGTCAAAATAAATCTCTGGAAGGGAGGATAGATAGAGACAGAGAGAGAAAAAAGAGAGAGGGGTTTTTGGAGGATTTAGGCTCAGCATCATGACTTTTACTGCTGCACCTTTGACTTGTGTCACTAAAGATCCAGTCCACTGTTCTCCATCTGTGATGGTCTGGAGCTGAGCTTTAAATGGACCCACATGAGTCCTGGTCTGACAGAACTCCTGTCCGAACCTCAGAACCGAGGCTGAACTAAGCAGCAGCTGAAAAACAGGCTGGGGAAAAAGTCCACCTGAAATGTGTTTTAATTAAGTCCAGGGTGCCGCCGGGCTACTGGAGGCTGCCGGAACCAAATAAACAGCGAAGGTCAAACAAACAAAGCAGCAGCAGATGATGGACCGAGCCGTGAAGTCACCGGCGGCAGCAGCCGCGGTTCGGACGGAAACATGAAACAGAAGAACCGGACGCAGGCTGTTTCCCGCCACCTACCTGCAGCTGGACCCCGCAGTCTCATCCGGTCCGGATGGTTCAGAACTTGTCCTGACTGAGCTCCTCTGACAGACTCCGCACCGAACCGTCTCCTCCTCTCCTCGCTCCTCTCGCGCACTGCCGGCGGAGGAGAGGGAGAGGGGGGGTGGGGGAGGGGCGTCCAATCAGTGCCCGGGATGACGGCAGCCAATCAGGACCGGCCTGTGTCCGACTGGTCGCTGCAGTAGAGTTGTGTGATGTTGTCAACTATCTTACCTGTTGTTGATAACTCTTAAAACTAAAACCAACTCAGTTGGACCTGGTGWTTTCAGGACCCCAAGTTTTACTCATACCAGTCCATCTCCATGCTGCCTCTGGACAGAGCCAATCTCCTCCCGCTCAGACATGAGCTTAAAGCACCAGGAACCAAAAACAGTGGTGGAGCAGAACTCATCTGTGTCCATGTGGATCTATGAGACATCATCCATCTTCCTTCTGAAGTAAATCTGTTGTTTAATCCTGCTGCAAGGGCTGTCACAGGGGCACCCCTTGTCCAGAGAGTTTTATCCTCTTCAGTTCAGTTTGCTTGGTGTGACTTTTTAATATTCTTAAACAAATTGATATTTTGTATCACAATAAAGCTGCTGATTTACACCCCTAATGAAATATTTTATATACTGACATTAGATATTGACTGTTATCCTTTGTTTTAGAAGTATTGCAAGTTGCAACAGTTACAGCACTTCACAGCAAAAATGCCAGTGTTGATTTAACTCCAACAAAGTGTCTATATGTGTCCACACTCGCTGGTGTTCAAATAACATTTGTGAAAGTGTTAAATTTTAACACCCATTTTTTTGTTAATTTAACACCAACCATTGTTTAATATTCAGCAATTCTTGGTGTCACATTGACATAAAATTAGTGTTAAAATATAGTGATGAAAGTTACACCAGTCAGAGTTAAATATTCACTAATATTGGGTGTCATATTAACATTTCAACAGTGTTGAAATAAAGTGTTAAAGGTAATACCAGTGTATTATTATTAACAAAGGGAATTGTGGTGTTATAAAGGTTTACAGACATCACAAGGTATCATACACCATCAAACTAAGAGTGTAAATTTAACACTCGGATTTATTATCAAACTTTTTACTCAGTAGTTAGTAGAAAAGTATAATGGAGTCACCCCTCACACACCAGGAAGTACTTCTCACTCATGGTGTCAATTTTTGGCCAATAACACAAACTTAAAGTTGAACAACTTGATCGAACTAAACAAGAAAACTAACAACTAATTTTTACTCTCATGAACTTGTTTAATGGTCATAAACATACAAAAACATCATTTCTGCAAGATTTCTCAGCAAGGAATGCTGGGTAAATACTGGACATGAGGTGGAAGAGGGTGGGGCTTTTCTGAATACTGCTTTCAACACTGCATGGTATCATATAACAACACTGTTAAGCGTTATATAAAATTTAACAGTGGGCAGAGCTTATTTAACACTCTCAAGTGTTGATACAACACTGAGGAAACCAACACTGTGAATTAACACCAACACTGAGTGTCAGTTTACTCACAAAGTGTTAAAATAGCACTAGGGGGTGTTAAATCAACACCCAAAAGTTTAACACTGAAATTTTTACACTCCTGATTTTTGCTGTGAAATAGGCTCTCACCCACCTGACAGAGTAAACATGACCTGCCCAGTATGGACAAACACATGTCCTTCTCTTTGTGTGCAGAAAGCTTGGAGGGTCCGATTCTGAATCAAGCAGAATGGTGGGCTCACTGAAATATGTTATTTTATGCCTCAGTTTATTTGCTATGTTGGATTTTATGGTAATGCGTTTTTAAAGACATATTTAAAAAAGGTATTAATAATAAGTCTGACCAAAAATCTTATGACACCCCACCACCACCACCACCACCACCACCACAGTACTTTCACAACCCCACCATTGAAAACCTCTCATGTAGACTTTTAGGATTAGTAGAAACTCATGCACCAAAAACAAAACAAACATTGTTGTTAAGCAGTTACAGTAGGAGTTAAATATATGAATATGTATTTTATTTAAAACTGAAAACAATATTTAACTCCCCCTGAATACAGAGAACTACAGTATAATTGTCATTGAGGTTACGTTGTTAGAGTACCCATGAATCATGAAAAAACACAAATACTGGATGCGGTCAAAAMTGRGTTTGGGTGGCACCAAAATGCGGTTAAAAACCAAACAAAAACACACGAGAGTGAAACAGTTGTCAGCTACGCACAGCATACAGTAAACTGTTAGAAGACAGAAATGCTGCATTCWGGGCAGAATGTGGGCACAGGGCAACTGTCACGTACGTACCGTACTGCAGTGTTGTGAAACAGGAGTGTTGAAATTTCAGTGTTAAACTTTTCGGTGTTGATTTAACACCCCCTAGTGTTATTTTAACACTTTGTGAGTAAACTGACACCCAATGTTGGTGTTAATTTACAGTGTTGATTTCCTCAGTGTTGTATCAACACTGGACAGTGTTAAATAAGCCCTGCCCACTGGTGAGTCTTATCTAACACTTAACAGTGTTGTTATATAACACCATGCAGTGTTGAAAGAAGTATTCTGAAAAGCCCCGCCCTCTTTCACCTCATGTCAGACAGACCAGTATTTTCTCAGCAAGGGATGCTGGGTAATCTCGTAGAAATGATGTGTTTGTATGTTTYMGARTATTAAAGAAGTTCATGAGGGTAAAAATGAGTTGTTCTGGTTAGTTTTCTTGTTCATTTTGTTCAAGTTGTTCAAGTCTGTTTGTGTTATTAGAGGCCAAAATTCGACACCATGAGTGAGAGGAACTTCCTGGTGACTGAAAGGTGGCTCCATAATTAGTACGAAATTAACAAAAAGCATAGGTGACATTTTTGACTGACATTTTTGCTGCGCCGAGCTGAATTTACTCTGTTAAAAAAGTTGTCAACCATATTGTTCTTTTTATTTCCTTTTTTTTGTCACTTCAGTAGGAAAAAGAACTGAATATTAGTTTCTTAAATTCTTCATCATCAGTGGCTTTTTTGTATTTTTCTTCATAACTTAGTTTGAAACTCACAAAAAACACAAGACAAAAAAACATTCCTTTTTCGTACTGCATTCACTGCATTTCAAGTTTCCACAAAATTATAGMCTTTATCACAAACTACTAGACAGGTTCCATGAAAAAACCCACAAAAGACCGAATCTGCAAAATGTGAAACACAACATTGTGGGGATTCACTATAATGACAATCAGTCTAAAATTAATGTCCTCAGCAACAGGATGCAGATTTTCAGGAGGATATGTAGAATATTTTTTTATTGAATATAAATTTATTAGAGGACAAACTTCAATAAGTTGAGTCAACTGTGTATCAGAAAGTGATTGCTGTATTCGTCTAATAACCTAAATCTGACAACAAAACAAATCTCCTGAAACTCTGTTCTAATTTTCCCKATTAAAATATTTCTGGAGGCACTGTAATGTTTTGGCTCTAATACTACCTTATTCAAAAGAACATCAGTTCCTGAATGGTCCTAAAATTAAATTGGATCGACCTCCTATTCTATATTATTGTATTCTGTTGTATGAAATCACATCATTAAAGTATTGTATCCTGTATTTGTTTAAGGTCATGTCAGCTGTGTGTGATGGATATTTTGGAGCTGAAAGAAAAAAAKCATTTGAGTCTGAACACAACACAAACTTTGACCGTTCAGTTCCAAGTGAAGTATTTTAGTAGCAGAAACAGAAGCCTGAAGCTGCTGGCAAACAACAACAAGGTCAGATACGATTACTACTTCCTGTTTCTACACCTCCACACAGAATGTGAGGGTCTGTAGCTCACACAACAGAATTCATTATGTAAATCTCAAAAACTGTTTGGTATTTAACAACTGTATCATTTGAGTTGAGCCACATAGACAGGGTATGCACCTTACAACGGGTTCTAAGAACTAGAACTGGGCCATACCCTCTCATCAAACACCTTTAAGATGTCTGAGTGTATGAGCATCGCCTGCCTAAGGAAGATGAAGAACAAAGCTGCATCATGGGAAGATATTAGACCAATATAATGCCTGGGAATCTTGGATTTTTCCATTTATGTTGGAGTTTCTTTGACACGTGCAGCCGACCCTGTTATTGATCCAGTTCCTGAATAGAAATGATCTTCCAGAGCCTTACCAGACTATAAAAACTATCTTGACTTAACTACCAAACCAATCATGGATCTGACTGACGAGATGTACAAACAAGTCTGGTCCATGAGGGTTCTCAGCAGAACCTTTGTGACCTAAAGGTTCTGGTGCCAGAACCTTGCAGACATTCAGGTATCTGTAGAGTCCATGTTTGACAAGTTGGTGTTGTTGAAGCAGCAGATACTTAGTATTAGGGTCATGTATTCATTTAATCAGACATTAGTTATTATCTGTTACAAATGAATCTTTTTAAAAGGGTGTTTCAGATGAGAATCCATTTAAAAAACAAAATATACAGTAAATACATCAGCTGTCAGTGAAGTCATTACTGAGAAAAAGAGCAATTAAAAAGATGACAAACGGAACTGGTTCTGAATTGTTGAAGCAGGACTGAAGGATAAAGCTGCATGACTCATCACATATTGTAAAGTCATGACTTTCATGATGCCCTCTGGTTGCTGTAATTAACACTGGTGTGCATTCTCCACATGTTTGWCGTCTAACTGAGAAAATTCTGTAAGCAGCAACACAAACCTCTTAATGGAAAAATCTGTAAATTCTCCAGCAGGTCCGTTACCAAGAAAATCAATATACACTTACCAAAGAGACAGGACTGAGTTATCAGGGCTCAGACACATTTAAAGCTACAAAGACCTAAAAAGAAAAGAAACAATAAACTGTTTTATATTTCAATATGCTTTTTAATATTCTGATGTTTGTTAAATAAGAATCAATTGTGGCWCTTCCTGCCTTAAAAGGCCTTTAAATATCAATTTATGGAATAGAAGGTGAAAAAAATGTTTTAGACAAACCTGTTTTTGTGAAATGTTTTTAAGGTGCTTTTTGAGGAAATGAAGGTTTATTTTTATTGTAAATGATGCAAAGGCATCCAGAATTAGGATTTTGGATCAGAAACAGATAAAATCTGACGTGGTTTTATTTTAACAAGTTTATTTGATGTACAGGGGTTGTTTTCTCTCTGAGGGGTCATTTGGATGACTACAGCAGTTTTCAGCTCTATGGAGGAGTCTTGAGTCTGACATTAAATCCAGCTCTCCAGCTGGCAAAATAGGCAATTTTCAATTATTTTATTTGAATATTTATGCTTCTAGCACAATTTCTACAACATGAAATAAATTTTAGAGTTATTTAAACTTAAATTTAGAGGTTTTTGTAAAAATTGCGTTAGAGAACAGCAAATATCTGTAACCGTTTACGACTCAACTTGACCTTCAGTTTAGTTCAATTAACAATCACTTGGGTCAGTTACAATCAGTTTAAATCATTTACAATCACTTCAGATTAGCCAACAATTTGCTAACAATTAATTGGGATCAGTTACAGTAAAGAATCAGTTAAAATTAGTTAACMATCAGTTAAGATACGCTAAATCACTTAAGATCAGCTACCAGTCAGTTAAAATCAGTAATAATCCGTTAGAGATCCATTAAAAACAGTTAAGATCTTCTAACAATCAGCTAATATCAGCCAACATTTAGTTAAATTTAGCTAAGGATCAGTTACAATTAGTTAAAATCAGCTAACAATCTGAGAAGATCAGTGACAATGATCAGTTAAGATAAATTGCAATTAGTRAAAGATTACTTAAATTTAGCTGATAAGTTATCAGGATTTGAAGGTAAACCAACGACTAACTGTTTGCAAGAAAACAACTTAGCTTTTATTTATTTATTTTTTGTAGACACAAGGCTACACTGTGAAATAAAGTTAAAATATGTCAGATTAACTGCTTGGCTTGCAGATTAAAAACAGTAAATGTTCACTTCTTCTGTTTATTTATTCTCACAACACAACTGGTTAATGTTGTCTGTCTTGTCTTTACATTGTTGAAGCATATTTGTCTTATTTGTGTTTTCTGGTGTATCTAAACCAATATTTGATCAGATCATCAGTTAGATATTGGCTCATAAATACCTGCAGAAATCACTACCAGTTGTCAAAAATTCTGTACTATCACACCTTACATGAACCTATAGTAGCATAAAGTTCAATGATAAGAGATAAACAAAGGAAAAACAGGAAAAATATTCTTTATTTAGACACAAAAAAAGCTGATTTAGATGTACTGTAGCATACAAGCTGCACACCAGGTGCAATCAGTCAGCATCAAACAAAGCTGCTTAATGAATAGAAGGAGCAAATTTCAAACTCAGTAGAAAACACCACATCATTTCAGAGCACCTCGTCTCTCCATGGACAGATGTGAAATCACTAATTGTCAAGCGCTGCCTGATTATTCTTTGAATCGGCCAAATTCAAGAGCGATCGCTGTCCTCGCTGTCGTAGCATCTGTTCCTCTTGATCTGCTCCTCCACGGTCAGGCCTTCGTCGTCGTCGTCCTCCGTCCAAGAGGAAGCGCCGCCCATCTGTTTCATCTCCTCTTTCCCCCTCACATCTCCCGGCCGAAGCCCGAAATCCAAAAGGTCATCTAGCGCCGCTGCCGCTGGCCTCCCCGCGGCGGGCTGACTGAAGACGTCTGATGTGAAATCAGATAGCAGGTCGTGGCTGCCGGCGCTCAGACCGGCGAAAATATCTTCCAGGGAGCTTGAAGTGCCAATCTTTGGCTCGGTGGCTGCGCGTCTGAGGGCGAGCGTTCCCTCGGCTGTCTCTAGAGAGAAACTTGTGTGTGAAAAGCTGTCTGTGGCTTCAGCTTGTTTGGCATCATCCCTCTGTGCCGACTGCAGCACTTCACTTGGCGTCCATCGGGAGAAATCTTCAGCTCTCATTGCATCCGTCTCAAGAAGTGGCTCCTTTTTCTCCTCTCTAAAGCCTCCATCCAGGATTTCTACATCAGCTAGAGTCTGTGTATTATTATTATTATTATTATTATTATTATTGGCATTACCATTCAGAACCTGTTCTCCTGCTGTATTCTCATCTATTAATGTGACCTTCACTGCCTCCCCGCTGTTCATGCTGTCATTATTTTCTTTCTTTAACACCTGCTGGCTCTGCGGTACCTGCACGTCAAGCCCGTTCTCTCGAACTTCCTCCCCGCTCTCTGCACTTTCTGCACTTTCCTCCTGATTGTTCTCCTGCCCTTTCGTACCCTCCCCTCCTCCACCGACGTTCCCTTTGTTTTCTTCCTCCTTTTCCTCTCCATCACGCACTTCAGAGTCCATTTCAGAGCCCACTTGTGCGGCAGCCGGGGAGCTGCTGTTTGACTCTTGACTTTCTGGAGTGTGAGGAACAATCGCTGCCTCCTCGGCCGTGGTTGAAGTTGAGGCCGGAGCGTCTGAGGCAGCCTGAGACTCCTGGTTCTCACGAGCCTTGTTAGTTTCCTGAGGTCTGTTTGGTTCTTCAGCTAGAAGACCACCGGCCTCTCTTGGCGAGGTCTGATTTAAGTGGTCGTTTTCTTCAGACGAGCCCTCTTTAGGGGGCCACGGCGGCTTCACCAGCTTTAGCTCCTCGTCAACAGTGAAGGGTTTCTTTGAAGAATCGGCCTGTGGAGGCCACACGACTGAAATCTTACTTGTGGGCTTTTTGTTTTCATCCACCAGTTTGGTGACGTCGCGCTCGTGAATAGACGTGTATTTGAAATCTAAGACTTTCTTTTCAGGAGCTGGCAAATTTTTCTGGTTCTTGTTGTTCCAAAGTTCTTTATGTGGTTTTTGTCCAAATCCCTCGTCGTAGTTTCCTTTGGACTTGAAGAGCTGGGTGTAGTGTGGTTTGCAGTACAGTCGTCCATGGAGAGAGGCGTAGTTACCGAGGCTGAAAATACGAGAATAAACAGAAAAGTTGAAGGTATTTGAAAACAGCTTGCAGCTGGACTGAAGTCACTCGGCGTTGGCTCCACCTTAGTTTGCCTTTGCAGTGTTCGCAGCAGAAGCAGCTTTTATGGAAGTTTTGTTTGTCTGCGATCAGCGACTCCATGGGGTACACCCTCCTCTGACACAGCCTGCACAGTTCGGACTCTGGAATTCGAATTCTCTGCAAAGAAATCAGAAACTTTGTTTATACATCAGCTTTTTGCTATTTTAATTCTGGTTAATATCCTGGAGGGAAGAAAAAAATAAAAAATTTCTCCTACGATATAATTGTGTCCTTGATTTTGTGACATATTGTGTCTAGATTTCTCAGTTTTCACAGTATTGACGTGCTCAGTGCTTTATTATTCATTGGTGCTGTTTTTAAAGGGGTTTTCTGCTTCTGGTAATAACCATAACTTTAAATTAACAAGTGAAACCAGTCAGAGAGAAATAGACTGAACCATTAAGAGGAAAACTGATTGCAAGATAAAATAAATTTCTAATTTTAAATTACACTTTTACAAGTTATGTGTTTTTTATACAGTTTTTGTCAAGTTTATTACATACGTTACAGTTTGTTTATCCTTTTCTATTCTTACTTTGATATTTTGATACCAGATGAAGAAATGTTTATTCATCAGCAATAAAAAATATATTTCCTACTCAAATCACATCTATGCACTGTTAACTGCAGAATACTGTATTCTCAGTTAGTTTGGGGTCTTCGGCCTCAAATACATATAAATTATTATATATATTGAACCTAAAGCACTGTATTGAACGGTTCGACACAGACGTGTATTTTTGCACCCCTAATATGTCTCGTTTGTCTTTGTGTCTATGGTGTATAATAACGTGATTGTGATGCTGTATTTCTGAGTGTTTTATGTGCTGCAGAACAGGAACCTGCTGTAAAACAGCAATTATGCTGAGTCTGGCTTGATTTCTAGTAATCTTTTCCTGTTAAATCAATAAATCAGAAATCAGAATATATATATATATGGTACATAAGATTTTCCACAAATGACTTGTTCTTGTTATMTTTTTAACTCAGCGTTAACAACAATTTCAAGTATTATTTTCTTTCATCAGGAAATATTTCATGCAGTTTTTTTGGTTTGAGAGAAATCAGCAGAGCACACMCCGGCTGGAGGATTATTAGTCAAAACTGTTAGCATCACACAACAGAGGCACAAACAAACACAACAAACCTGTAAACACTTAAAACTGTGAAACTGACACTTTATAAAGTCCAAGCTGCTCTACAGTTTTAGAGAAACTAAAAGAGAAGAAAATCAGGCAGCTTATAGAAGAGTGTTGAAGCGACATTAGTGATTTGTATTGTGTCAAAATGCTCACACAAACAGCAGGTTTAACATCCTCATGCTGCATGGCACAGTGTACCCGTCACAAAGGTCTCCTGCTGGTGGGTCACGGTCTGTGAAGTCCTCTGCTCCGTCACGTTAAAGCCCAGGTTCTGGAAAACCCCTTGGCTCTCGGCCCAGGACTGTTGGAAGCTCCTCAGCAGCTCCTCCGTGGAAGCCTCGGAGGGCACAGAGACGGTGGGAACCCGGCCCCTCACCACGTCTGCGTAGGACGGAGGGTTACCTCGAATCAGGGAGCTCCCAGAATGCGTTTCGCTCCTGGTCTCCCTCGTCATGTTTCCAAAGTCGTCAACGTTGCAGAACTGCTCTGTGACCGAAGTGGTCTGAGAATGATGCGCCGGCTCAGAGGAGCTGGACTCGGATTCTCTTCTCTCTATTTGTTCTCGGAGCTCCCGGGCTGCCTGAGAACCGTGCTCTCCCATCTCAAACACGTCCTTGATGGCTTTGACTTTGAACATGGGGATGTCTTCAGTTCTTGGAGCGTGGGCTTCGGCTTCTGCATCCTCTGTGTCGCTGCCCAGCCTCTCTGTTATCACGATGGGCTCCTTCCTTGTGTAGACCTTTGGTCGAGGAGACTCAAATTTATTCACTAGTTTGGATAAATCAACTCTTGGAAGATCCTCCCTCAGGAGGTCAAGGGTCACGGCATCGGGGGCTTCCTCGGCATCAGGTCCCAGACGTTCGGGGATGTCAATGGGATCCTTCCGAGTGTACAGCTTGMTGACTTCGGCCCTCTGCGCCTCCTCGAAGAAACTCTTTTTGTCTCTGACCGTCGTCATGGAGTCCACCATCTCCATGACATCCACCAGTCCGTGGTCGCTTCTCTCAGTGGGGGTCTCCCTGTCACTGAACGGCGACGGCTGCTCTCTCTCAGCAACAAAACACTCCGGCGCCACGACGGGAGGAGGCGGGGTCATTCCCTGGGAGAGCTTTGAGGTGGTGTCCCTCAGCTTCAGCAGCTTCTCTGAGCGGCTGAGCGTTGGAGAGGGCGTGGCCCTGCTGAAAGTGGGCGTGAAGGATTTGCGAGGAGGTGGCGGAGGCGTCCCGACTGATTTGTAGGGCGGAGGCGAAGGGGTCACCCTCAGGGGAGAAGCCACTCTCCTCGACTCAATGGTGATGTAAGTTGGTGACGGAGTGCGGATGCTCGCTAACGGGGAGGAGAGTCTCTGATCGGACCCTTCGCTCAGAGCAGGAGGCGTGTTGCTTTCTGAAAACTGCCGTTTCTCTTCCAATACTTTCCTTTCTGTTTTGGACGAGCTAACGTTAACCTTTGATATTTTCGAGGCTGCCGTGATGACGGGCTTTTTGTCTGGTTTAGGAGCAACCTGTGGAGGTGCTGGCTCCTCTTTCTCCTCCTTTTCCACGACCATCGCGCTTTTCTTCAAAACCAAGAGTTTTGTCTGAAAAACATTTCTCAGGTAAGACACCATCTCCTTCAATTTTTTCTTGCTTTGTTGTTTCACCAATTCACACAAATTCTTTTTCTCTGCCGAGCCAATGATCCAGTCGGGAACTTGACTCAGGACACTCCTGACTGCGCTGGCGTCCATTCTGCTCGGTGTGCCTTCGAGCTCTTTAATCTGAGCAACCAGTTTCTCCATCACGGTGCATTTATCTGTATCTGAAATCTCTTCAGTCTCAGCCTCTTCTTTATGACTCGAGCTTTTCAGCGACACGTCTTTCGACTCAACTTTTGACTTCACCATTTTCTTTGTCTTATTTGTATCTTCAGCTCGTAGCTTCAGCTGCTGCTGCTGCTGCTGCACGTGGACGGCCTCCTCTCTCTGCACCACCCTCTGAGTCACGACAACCTCCTCGTGTCGTTGGATGTGCTCCGACTTCAGGCTCTGCTGACTCTGGGAAACCGACACGAGGTCACGTCCTTGATGAGCTGGCACAGATGTGATCTTCGCTCCCGAAACCATAATCGATGGAGACAGCTTGACTTCGGCCACGTTTTTCTGCTCCTTCACGGGTGGAGTCACCTGTTTTTTAGTCTCTTTCACTTCTGCTTTCATCTCGGTTCTTGCTGAAGTCTGCTGGATGTTTTCCACATTTACTTTTGATTCAGCTCGCTGTGACACTTTTCTTTTTTCTTGTTGTGAATGTGCTTCACTTTTCATTACTTCCTCCTGCCCCGAACCGTCAGACTTTTCTTTTTTCTCCTCTGTTGGCATTTTAAATGTTTTTACTTTGAAACTTGGAGTTACCTTTGGAATTTTAGTTGGCTGAGAGGGACTGATTTTTCCCTCCTGAGTCAAAGACGCATTAATATACTTTACATCCTCAGTTTTCAGTGTGACTGCAGCCGGGCTTTGAAGGTTCACYTTATCCTGGGCGGTGCTCTGCGAGGACCTGGAACTGGATTTACTAATAAACTGCTGCTGCTCCGTGACTGAAGAAGTGACCACGTTTGAACATGACTGGATTTCTTTTTCCAAGGCCTGGTGATGAGACTCAGACACGGACACATCAGTTGAGGAATGGATTTGCTTTTTATCCGCGGTTACATTTGAAGATGCGAGGGTGGATTTTTTATTTAGAGCTGAGATTGAAGGTTTGCTCAGAGGGATTTGGGAAGGGCTTTTCTTAACAGCTGAGTCTTGTGACAGTATTTTATTTTCACTTGTGATTTTTGTGCTTTCCAGTTCTCTCTCGGTGTCCACTGCTGCAGAAAGCAAAGCAGCAGCAGAGGATTGTGTGTTAATTGAGGGTGAAGTTGGAGCAGAGGCGCTGCTTTTTTCTGCTTCCTCTTTCTCCTGCTTTTGGAGGCGGTATCTTTCCTCTGCGAGCATGAGAGYAGTCTTAAACTTGCGAGCGTACGGCCGGGCCTTCGGGGCCGGAGCTGGGTCTGGAGGTGGGGGCAGTTTAATGGGAGGGACACACACTTTTTTGGGAGGTTGTGGACTTTGTTTCTGCTCTGGTTTAACGGGGATGTTTGAAATTCTTGTTGGTGATGCCGCTGCTGGTTTAGTCTCACTCTTCTTTTCAGTTTGTTGGATTTTCTCTTGCTTCATGTCCTGAACTTTAGCTTCCTCTTCTCGAACGGTGGTTACGACCGTTTCCTGACTGAGCTGAGCTGAAGGAGCTGAAGGAGCTGAAGGAGCTGAAGGAGCTGATGGAGCTGAAGGCGTCGGCTGTTTTTTCTGCCACTTTGGTTTAACTTGTACGGGCTGTTTCTGTGGTTCTGGCTGCTTGGCCACTTTAAATAAAGGTTTGCCAAGGGGCTTTCCTTGCTTTGCAGGAGGGAGCTGTGGCATCGCATTAAGCTCCTGCTGCGAAGGAGGTGGAGGGAGAAAATCCTGCCTACCTGCAGAGAATGAAGGCGGCGGAGGCGGCGGAGGAGGTGGGAAAAACTCGGGCTCCGACTTCATGCACTCCACGGGAGGTGGAGGCGGGGGAGGTGGCGGCAGCAGGTCGCTGTCCTGCCTCATGATTTGAGGCCGGGTCGTGGGCGACGCCGGGCTCTCTGTCACCGGCGACGGCGGAGGAGGGAGGGAGAGCTCTGACTCTGAGGGGGGAGGTGGTGAGGAGGGAGGAGGGGGGAAGTGAATCTCTGGTTTTGCCTTTCTGACGGCCCCCGTCCCTCTCGTGTCGTGGCCTCGGTAATCAGCCTTCAGGTTTTTGACGCTCTGCTTCTGTGTGAGCGTTTGCTCGGCGACGCTCTGCGTGTGCACGACGGTTCTCTCCGTCACCGTCGTCTGCACCTGTTTGACTGTTTTTGTCTCACATGTTTGTTTGCTTGAAACATTTTTCTGTGTGGTGTTTTGCACCTCCACAGCTTTATTCTCTGTTTGATCATTAATAGTCTTCAGTGTGTTCTTCATCACAACAGGCTTAGGAGCTGGTGTTTTCTGTGGGGGCAGCACTTTGTCTTTCTGTTCTTTTATGCTCTTCTGATGAGAGGGCCCTGCAGGATTGTCTGTTTTGACTACAGCAACAGAGTGGTCCTCTTGGGTTATTACCTGCGTTTTCAGCGATTTGCTTTCATGGTGCCTCTGTGACTCACTGCTCTGCGAGAGGTTTTTCACAGTGGGGGCTGGAGTGAGTGCTACATTCTCACTCTGAGCCTCATGTAAGCTTTCATGCTCRACTTGCTTTACAGTTGATGGATTTTTCACGGCCACTTTCGCCTTCTTGGGAGGATGCATACGCTTCTTGTTTGAATACTGCTTCTTCTGCATCAGGCACTTTATCGCCCCTTGAACGTCACCTCTAACGACCTCTTCTTTTTCCACGTGTGTTGCCTCCTGCCCCTCGTAAAGAGATTTTATGGATGTTTTCACGTCTCCTTCAACGCTCCCTCTGCGCTGCATCCGTGGAGAGGTGGCTGGCTCCAGTAAAAGCTGAATAGTGCCCTTAACGTCGCCCTGCTCGCTCACCTGTTGCTGGTAGATCCTTTTCTCGCTCGACGCCTCGTGTAAGCTTTGCATGGCGGTGTGAATGTCTCCCTTGATGATCTCCTCCTTCGCCACCTCTTTCACAGCTTGCTTTGCCTCCTCCAGACATTTCAGTGTCTCTTTAATATCACCCGGCACTAAATCTTCCACGCTCGCTTCTGCTTTTGAAGATGCAGATTTCTCCAGCGACTCCAGCGCGCCTCGGATGTCACCCCTGATGATCTCATGCTTTCCCCTTTCTTTCACTTGATTCTTGGCTTCCTCCAGAGACTTTAAAGTAGTGGGTATGTCCCCCTTTACCACCTGCTCTTTTTCTATGACCACTTTCTGATTGATGGCTTGAGTCAAAGAGTCCAGAGCTGCGTTAAGGTCCCCTTTAACGATATCCTTCTCCAGGTTTCTGTAGGTAACGGTGGGCTCTGTCATGAAAACTTTAACAGTGCTGTATACGTCACCAGGGACAATGTCCTCCTCTGCTATGGTACGACCGATCTGCTGATGATTTTTCCGAAGCAACATTTTCGTRTCTTCAACATCACCTCCTATGATGTGTTCCTTTTGCACCACTTCCTGAACATCATCAGACTCAGACTGAAACTGTTTCAGGTACTCCAAGGCCCCAGACTCAATGCAGGTAGAATAGAAGCTGACATTGCCCCTTTCGGTTTCTCCAACCCTGATCTTATTGGAATCCTCTTCTCCAGAGTTAGAGAGAAGACGGAGAAGAGTTCGGCTGACATTCCCTTGAATTATATCTTCTTTCTCCTTGGTCGTTTTCTCCCCTTTGTTTAAGAGGGAATAGATCGTCATCTTCACATCTCCTTTCTCGTCTTCTTGAATCAGGATGCCACGCTTGGAAGAGCCTTCATTTCTCAGCAAATTGTTCATCGCCTCTTGAACATCTCCGCCGATGATCGTCTCTTTTTCTACGTTGGTTCCTCTCTCCTGGTTGAAGAGCTGCTTCACCGTGGTGTTTATGTCGCCCCGCTCCTCTTTATCGATCGTTATAACCCTTTCGGTGGGTTCAGTGCGGTTCAGGAGGTTCATCATTATGTTGCTCAGATCTCCACTGATGATCTTCTCCTTTTGGATTTGTGGAGCATCCTGGTTCATGAGTTTGTACTTTGCCATACGGACATCCCCTATTTCATCTGCCTCAATCAGGATCCCCTGCGCGTTCACCATTTTCTGGCTGTAAAGCTCCTCAAGCGTCTCTTTAACACTCTTCCCAGTTATCTCTGTCCTCTCCACACTGCTCTCGTTGAACTCGTGAAAAGGAGTGGTTTCAAACAGCCAAGTTGTTGTTTTCACATCGGCCTGTGGGATTTCCTCCTTTGTCATAACAGTCTTAATGCCATCAGACTCTTTGATACAGTCCAGGGGGTTCTTCTCAAAGAGCCATACTGACTGTTTGACATCCCCTTTCATCACTTCCTCCTTAGTCACCTTCTCCATGTCGTCGTACTCACTGCCGTCGCCATGGATCTCATCGATCGTGCGGGTCTCAAACATCCACGTGGCGGACCTGACGTCACCTTTTTGAATTTCACTCACGCTTACAGTTCTGACGTATTTCTGAGACATCTCGTCGGTCTCAAATCGACGCTTGTTCYTCTTCACGTCACCACCTTGCACGCCTGTGACCGTCTTCGACCTCACTTTGATGTCTTCGCTTATTTCGTCCAGCGGTTGTGTTTCAAACCTCCACTTGGCAGAACTGACATCTCCTTTGTTAATGCCTTCCTCTGTAACAGCTTTAATAACGTAAACCTCCTCTGAATCTCTGATTGAATCCAGTGGTTTTGTCTCAAACAACCATCGAGCCCCCACTACGTCTCCTCTCATGATTTCTTCTTTGGTAACTGTGGTTACCTCATGATAATGGCCCTCCTTGTCTCGGATGGCATACAGTGGCTGAGTTTCAAACATCATGGTATAATTTTTTACATCTCCTTTCTCGACGTCTTCTCTAAAAATACTTAGTTTTGAGATATCACTCTCTGTAGACTCCTCTTTGATTTGATCCAGAGAGAACGTCTCAAAAATGAAGCGGCTCTTGTTGACATCGCCACCCTGGATGTCGATCACTGTGCGACCCTCCTTCGTCTTTGAGCTGTCCTCACTGATGGCATCGATCGGCTGGTTCTCAAACATCCAGGTGCAGTTGACCACATTTCCCCTTTGGATGTCCTCAGCATGCTGTTTCTTTAGCTGGTGCATCGTCTCCTCCGACGTGGAGCTCACGATGTCTGAGGAGCGATTCTCGAAGATGTACTTCATCCTGGAAACATCCCCAGACTGGATATCGATCTCTGTGACTCTTCTGAAAGAACCACTGTCTTCCCCCACAATGTTTTCCAGGTTCTCTGTTTCAAACAGGAAGCGAGCCATTTGGACGTCCTTCCCTAGAATGTCCTCTTGGTTTGTGGTGCAGGTTTTCAGTATGGTTTCGGTCTCTGAGTGATCATGTATGTTGTCYAGAGTCTGGGTCTCAAAAAGCCAAGTGCACGTTTTCACGTCACCTTTCTGCACTTCCTCCGTGTCAGAATCGCCCCTTTTAACCTTTTCATACAAAGCATCCATGGGCTGAGTCTCAAACAGCCACCTACAGGTTTTCACGTCCCCCTTCTCAATTTTAACGTCTTCCTTCGTTTTGTGTTCCTCGGCTTCGAAATTATTGAAAAACTTAATGGCATCGAGGGGTTGGGTTTCAAACAGCCACTTTGCAGTTTTAACYTCCCCGGACTCAATTTCTTGTTTGGAAATACCTTTGATGATCTGGAACTTATTGATGCTCTCATCAAACTCATCTATGGGGCGCGTCTCGAACATCCACCTGCAGCTGCGGACGTCTCCTTTCACGACCTCCTCTCGCCTCACTGTCCTCACCTCGTGGTAATGGCCAGAGCTGTCCTGCATGGCATACATCGGCGTYGACTCAAACAGCTCTTTGTTGGACCTGACAGATCCACTTGGAACGCCTTCAACTTGGATTTTATTTGTACCTTCACWTTTACTTAAATCCATGGTTTCAAACCATTCTTTGTAGTTTGTCACGTCTCCTTTATCAAAGGCTTCAATGTTCACGGTCCTTGTAAGCTCCTTCTTCTCTTCTCTTATACTCGCCAAAGGCTGACTTTCAAAGACCCATTTCTGATGTCTTACGTCCCCCTTCTCTTCTTCTGATGTCACCATTTTCTTTAGTTTTCCCACTTCAAGCAGCTCTTTTAAATTTTCCATGGGTACAGTTTCAAATAGATGTTTGGCTGACTGAACATCACCTCCTACAATCTCCTCAGAGGGCAAAGGTCGAGCATTGGTGGTATCTTTCAATGAATCCATAGGTTGAGTCTCGAAAACAAGACAGTGTTTTTTTACATCAGCACCAATTATTTCTTCTTTTGATTTTCTAGAACTTTCCCATTCTTCATCATTAATTGAATCAAGTGTTTTTGTCTCAAATAGCCATCTGCCTTTGTTCACACCACCTTCAGTGTTGTCCTCCATGGAAATACCACAAATCAATTTCACCTTGGCCGGGTCTTTGTTGATCATGTCCAGAGGCTGGGTTTCAAACATCCATCGTGACGTCTTCACATCTCCCTTCGCTGTCTCCTCTCTGCGGATGGTYGTGATTTCAAGGATTTCTCCTGAATCCCCCCTAATAACACACAMTGGTTGTGTCTCAAACATGCGAGTGGTCATTTTCACGTCTCCCTTAATCTCCTCCAGCTCAGACTTCAGGTTCAGGAAGTGGCTCTCCTCAATGGTTTCTGTTTTACCCAGAGAATCTAGATGCTGGGTTTCAAAGAGGTACCTGGCAGTTTTCACATCTCCGCCGGTGATGTCTTTGGTGACGACGCATTCCATCTCCTGCTCGTCTTCTTGGTAGATCTTATTCAGACAATCCAGAGGCTGAGTTTCGAACAGCCAGGTGGCGGTGCGGACYTCTCCTCTGGCAAGCTCAGTCTGTTTTTGCGACTGCTCAGTTGCYTCAGCAGCCTCTCCCCCGAGAGCGTCCATCGGCTGCGTCTCAAACATCCACGCAGTGTACCTGACGTCCTTTCCTGCAATGATTTCCTGCTGGGAGATGTTCTTCCCCTCACCTTCATCCGTGGAGTCATCTTTGATCGTGTCCAGGGGCTTGTTTTCGAACATCCAGCGCATTGACTGCACCTCGCCTTTGAGGATCTCCTCCCACTCCAAGTACTCTCTATCAGTGCTCGAACCTTCACTGGAGCTGTCGCCATCGTTTTCAAACATGTAGCATGTCTGCTGGACGTCTCCCACAGATTCTTTACTTTCCAAGGCTGCTCTTTCGGCTTCAGTGAGCTGGCTTATAAAGTCCTCCTCAAGGTTCTTGCGCACCTCTGGATGTATGTGCTTGTAGAGGCGCTTCAGCTCAGCCATGCTCTTGTGTTTGAGGAACTCTTCTTTGTTAACAACGTACTTCTGTTTATCCCGAGAGGCTTCTTGTGACACTTGTGGCAGGTTTGTGGGTGGGGGAGGGAAATGTTCTGCGGCTTCAAAAGCCACCGATGAGGTGGACGCTACTGACGAAGATGTCCTTWCAGTGGAAGATGAATTATAACCAGCTGACGTTTTGGTTGACTGGTTAACTGGAGACCACTGAAACTGGTTGAAATCCACATCAACCTGTGGTTTATGAGTTATTTATGAAAAATGTATGGAAAACAAAGGAAGAATAAAAGAATAGYAGAGTTGTTATAAAATGCCATGAAGCAGAGAAAAAGACAAACTTTTCAAACGTGTTTTGGAAAACTATCGTTTAACTTAAAAAGCAACTTTAATTCGAATGTGAATSAAAAGACATTAAATCTGTCACATATAAATTCATAAATACAGGCTTGATAGAAATATTAACTAAGTGTCTGACACCAGTGCAACTTTTCCATCTAATGTGGTAGGAAAAAATATATATTTTTCCCACCCTTCAGAACGCAGCACAATTTCCTTTTAATGATTTCCTGATGTGGCCTTATCTTCACACTGATTCACCATAAAAAAACACAAACTGTCATCTATTTAGACAAACAGACAGGATCATTACCTTAATTTCCTTRGCTGGTGCAGCTTCCTCGATGGTTTTTTCGTACTGCTGCTTCAAAGCCTGAGTGGAAACCTTGGGTAGGTCCTCCCCTCCGATGAGCGTAACTGAATTAGACAGAAGAAGAAGGCTGCCTCATTAAGCCATTCACAGTGAGGAGGCTCAGGGGGAAAAGAAATAAATCAATTCATTAAAAAACCTGAGTAGTTTTCATTTTCTGAAACCATGCAGCTGTGATTGTCCAATTTCCACTTTCCGATATTTTACCTTCCTGACTCAGATTAGATTTGCTGCTGAACAGAAAATCCGCGTCACACAGCTCATCCCACATTCAGCCCCACAGTGGGAACAATCATTAACATACAGGACACAAGTAGTGCCAAGATAAAAATGAAATTGATAATAAAATAAAATAAAATAAAATAAACAGAATAACCTGTTTGGTTGGAATGGTTCCCATAGCTGCTCCGCTGGACTCTCTGATTGTGGCTCAACTGTGAAAAGATACCAGGATTTAAAGAAATGTCCTTCATTTAAATTCATTTCATTAAGTTTTCATTAGATTCTTTGCAGGAATGGATATACAKTCCTTTTAGCTCATTTTTTATTACAGCTGCTTCTTACAAATTTCTACAACACCATCTCACACATTCATTTAGACCTCAGACTCTGCWGTGAGRGACTCTCAGCTACTACCACACCAAATTATAGCTCAGTATCTGTAAAACTGACTGAGTTGCAGCTATTTTTAGTGTTCTGAAAGATCAGCTGGCTGTGGCAGCCATCTTGAATTTGCTTCATTGRAGAAGTTAATGTTTGTGAAACGTAAATTTCAAACCAGTTTGAAGGAACAATTGTCCATCAATTCAGGGAACAAGATTATGGAATAATCTGCAAAGTGCTGTTAAAAATGTCAGATCAATGTTTACAGTGGTTTGCAAAAGTATTCATACCCCTTGAACTTTTCCATATTTTGTCACATTACAAC